TTCCGAACTCAAATTTTACTATACCCGCTCTACAACGGCTCCGCTCCGGTGCGGAGACCTGAGGTGCGCAAACAGGCATGCGCAGACTTTCAAGATCTTGCGATACAGTTCGAGCAATAAATGCGGAAGTTAGATCCAAACACCCGTTGTGTGGGAGAAGCATCGAAATGAACTGTTTAATCTGCCCATCATTTGTGTTGAGAGATCAGCAGTGTTTGGATCAACAAAGGGTGACTACTTTGATAGTGGAAACTGTATTTATGGCTTATTTTTGTGCATTTAAAGTTCAGCCGCCATTGATAGTTGTTAAAAGTTGTTAAACCTGTGCATAAGAAACAAAAAACGCTTTTTGTTTATCGATTTATTGTGAAATAACGGAAGTTGTGCTTTCTCCTTTTCCTGTTGGGCAGTTGTGATTTCTGTCCATTGACAGCGGGGGTGCTCTGGCGTCCTGCAAAAATAGAATCAATCCTATTTTTGCCGGATGGCGGAAAGGCGGGCGGCGCACTGCGCCGCACGGCCGCAGTAGTGGAACAGCTCTGATTGACTACAACGGGACCGTTTTTGCTGCGGGGTTCGTGCCGGAGTGGAGCGGAGATAGTGGAATTTTGGGGTAACACCTGCAGAGTTAATTTGTAGACTCCGCCCTTTTATTCTAAAAGTTGGACTGGTAGCAACCGATTGGCTGCAGAGAGTTGCAGGAGCTGCAGTGGGCAAGGTGCATTGTGGGTAGTCATGTTTTTAGTTAGTTTGTTCTATTTTGGAGTGTTTATGCATATTTATCTTTGGGAGTTGTGTTGTCCTTAGTTGGTACTTTGTTCACTCTAGCAAATGTGGTTTTGTTTGTAATGTCATGTTTGTACCGTAAGTGAGGAGGCTGGTCAAAAGAATGAGACGGCTGTGTGTTCCACCATCACAATAATAATGTGGTGCATGGTTCATACTACATGCCCAGGACTCTTCTCCTTGTGATCCTATCCCACTGACTGAATGCAGTCATGATGTGTACAAGGGATGAGTTAGCCAGTGTTTGTCAGTGTAATTGGTAGCTTCCTGGCATGGCACACTGAAAAGTATTAAAATTCATTGAATCATGGTGGTGATTTATAACTTGAGTGTAAGCTGACTCTGAAAATTAACACTGGTTGTAGTGTACACAGCAAATTCAGCACGCTCAACATAACTATCAGAGTTGATTTCAACACTTTTAAAGTGTCTATATGGGTCCACCCCAGTAAGTGTTAATTCAACACTTTTTAGAGAGTTGGTACTTTAACTCTGATTTAGTGTTCAATATTTAACTCTAGAGGAGTTGGTTTTTAACACTAAATCAGAGTTCAAGTACCAACTCTTCAAAAAGTGTTAAATCAAAACTTACTGGTGTAGCGTTATGAAGATTATAATTGTCTGCCCTTAACAGCTGCCCCTTCACGCAGTAACATCGCCAAGGTCGGACGCTTGGTTCAGTATGTTTACATTCCAGGAGAAGAGACAGAAGAAGAGAAGAAGAACGCTTTCCTTTAATTAAAGTACTTTATTCGTGATAAAGCTAATCAGAGCATATGTTGATCATTAATAATCAGGTGAATGATCTGTGAAATAAAGATGTCATGAGTTATGTGTTTAATGAATAAACAGGACTGCACCAGACAGACTGATCTACATTACCATGGAAACGCATGACACATTGTTTTCAACCAATCAGAACTTTCGTCTGTCGTAGAGAGAACCTGGGTTGTTTACTTAATTTGTCCAATCCGGTTTACTAAGATTTATAAACAACTGGGAGATATAAAACAAGGCAACGCCATTTCATATTCAGTTCCATGTTAACCTCAGTTCCGTTCATTTGGAGGTCCTAAGGATTTCCATCGTCATCATTAAGAAAGTTACAGGCTGGCCAGCTGTGCTTTCTACTTTAAGCTGAGAACTGTCAAGCTGGAGATTTCCGTCGTTTGAACCAACAAGACGACGTTCCTTCAAAATAAGAGTGAACTTGCTGACGCCTGCCGACTGCTACCGGAGCCGACCCACAGACGGGCTTTGTAGTGCTGCGACCGCTGTTTCACCAGCTCCGGTACATCCGAGGTCCGAGGACCTGGCATTTCCTGATCTACACGGGAGACTCCATAGGTACGTGGTCACGGCACAAAATGGCGGCTCATGTCATCAGCTTCTGAAGCCTCGTGGTAGCCTAGTCATAACAACCAGATTCGCTACGCCAGCCTAGAGATTCTGAACAACACACACACACACACACACACCAACACGAAACATCCAAATCCATATACATCCATCATTGAGATAGTCCTGGTAGATTGTAAGAATTTATAATTATAGAAATTAAAGATTCTTAAACGATCCCAACTCTCTTTTCTTGTCTCTCAGTCAATACAGAGTGTTTAAGTAAACTCCCTGATGATAAAAGCAACCACTTCTGATGATAATACTTAGATCTAATTACAGTGTATAAATATACAACTTCAGATCATTACACTGGGATGGACCCATATATATAAACTTTAAAAGTGTTTAAATCAACTCTGAAAGAGTTATTTTGAGCATGCCGAATTTGCTGTATACTTGCAAACCTACACATGTCCCCGTTTTGCTCCAACAAACTGCTCCACTCTTTATTTACTCTTTGTTCCTTTTCAGGATAAGCACAAAACTCTGTTTAAATGTGTCAAACATGCCAAATGTGTTTTCTGTTTAACAGCAGAGACGAGGAGAAATCCACCCAAAAAAACTGCTATGTGATCAGAATCAAAAAAGGGATCTTCCACATGGCTGGCTTAGGTTCCAAATACATCAATTGATCTAAAATGATTGTCAGATCCATTTCCTGTGACTCATGACAACCAGGAATGGTCCAGCTAATAGTAGACTGTTTACGCGATGTATGTTCTTAGCTAACTACTTTAGTGCTTCATTGACAATAAGACTGAGGTCATTGTGTTTAGTTGAAATGACTGCCAACTAGGGGTGTGCAAATTTTATTTTATTTTATTTTTTTGCAAAATTGCGATCACGATTATCACAATTTTTCAATTTTGACAATTCAGATGTTTTGGAAGTTATTTACAGTATGGAGCTTTTAAAGCCCAAAGCTTCTAGATCCGTTTGAAATAGCTAACGAGCTGTGGCTACTACGCAGTTATCTGCAATTATTTGATCAACATGCCTGGGGTCCCATTTATCAAACATTGCATAGAATCCTTACTAAAACCGTACTTAAGCTCAGCATAAGAGCATGGGGAGAAATTATGACACGTCTCTAAATTAAGTAAAATTTTCTAGTGCTGTGTGGAGACAACCCATAGAAGCACTGATTTGATCTCATTTCAGAGAAGAATAGAACAGGTCAGATGCACCTAATAAATAAAATTACTAACAAACTCAGGAATGTGTTTCTTTGCTTCACTGTTCTGGTGCTGAAAATATCACTAATGCGGATCAAAGGAGATACAGATAAATGCACCTCTTATTTATTATTTGGAGTCTACATTTACTGCAGAGGCAGAGATTTTTTCTATTGATACACGGAATTTACAGAATCATTTTAAATTTTAAAAGGGGAAGACTGCAGGAGGGAGCGGTAAAACACAGGGGGTCCCCAGCAAAAACAAGAAACTTTACGAGTCAGATGAAACCCGCTAGTTTTCCATCAGGCAGTCACGGGGCAGCTCCAACGACCCAGTGGCTGTGCTGGGTCAATGTTATCGAGCTCAGTCCGGCTCGGCAGAGGGTGAACGAGCCGAGGCAACGTCGTGCTCTGCTTAAGAAGAGGTGTTATTTTTCCGCTTCAGAAGAAGCGTCCAACGTGTTTTTACGCTTTCTCCGAGACATGTCAAATCGCTAAGTTGTTAGCGCCGTGCGCTAACACGTCAATAGTGCAACATAGCCTGCTGGAGGTTTTAAGGGTTCAGATGAAAACACCCGACCTCTCAGGCTGCTCACACATCGATCTTAAGTTGTCGCTGTTGCGCTCACGCCGTAATACAGTATTAGATGCGGTTAAAGTCAGACATGAAAAAATAAATAAATTTTACATGAATAAGTGATGATTAGCCTAGTGGGGGGAGGAGAACCTGGCCTAGTAAGCACTGGAGGAAACCCTGTCAAGATCACCAACACTCATTTATCTTAATGCTATTGAAACATGTAAACCAAAAGGCATTATATCCACTGCTACCTTTCTAATTTTAAACTCAGTAACTTATGCTGTAACTGCACCTTGCCCTGCCTGCTCCTTTCTTCTTGCTGCCCGCCGGATGTGATCACAAGCGACAACAAGTAGTTCCCGCTGCTTCTTCGGGAAACAGCACAAAAAAAAAATTGGGATCTTGTAGGCGTGGCAGTGGGATTTCAGCCATGGCGGGCCGCCACGGCTACGCCTATGTAAGGGAAACCCTGATGGAGCTCCTGGGGTTTGTCGTTGTTGTTGGGTGGGTGGGTGGGTGTGTGTGTGTGTATGTGTGTATGTGTGTGTGTGTGTGTGTGTGTGTGTGTGTGTGTGTGTGTGTGTGTGTGTGTGTGTGTGTGTGTGTGTGTGTTTTGTTAAATATTTGTAATGAAACTTGTGCGCTGAGCGGGTTAATGCTGAAGGATCACGTTAAGAGTTTTTATTTTTCAATAAATGCAGAATATTCAGACATGAGGATGAAAGCAGCTCAATCACACAAACAGCAGCTGATGTTTTCTCCCTTTAGGGGTTTCCTTCTTTCTGTTTTCACCAGAACTCTGTGTACTTCAGAGGAAATGGGATTACTGGAGGTGTTTCACTTTGACTGCATGTCTCAGGTCCAACAGCTGACAGGCTTACAGCATAACGGGATTACAAGGTAAAGATCCCCCACCCCCTCCCACCCCCAACATGCTTACTGCTGAATGTGGAGTTAGAGGAAGCCAGGATGATGAGAGCAGGATGAAGATTAAAATAAAATAAATGTCCTACACCAGATTCATAACAGTGTAAAGAGAGTTAATCATTCTCTTACCCGTCTGTCTGAAGAAACCAATCGGAATTCCTGCAGAAGCTTCCCAAAAACTGATCTGTGGGACTTCCGAAATGGATGGATAGTACCCTGAAAGTTTTAACAAGAAAAGAAGTCAAACCTCAAGAGTCCAAGTAATGGAAAACTGAGCATCTGGGGGAAGAACGTCGTTATTACTGATGCAAGTAATTATGAAATGCTTCAATAGGTTTTCTCACATTTAACTAACATTCAAAGTAGGGAAGCTCTGATCCGATCACCCAGAACCGGGTGGAAAAGATCAGAAACAACTTTACAAAAAACAAGCACTATATTTTAGAATTCATCCTGAGACACATAGTTTTAAATGTAAAACGTGAACTTATTTTTTTTAATATTCATTGTTGCATGGACGACAAAAACACCTTAATGACGTAGCCTTGTTTACATGCGCACTATTAATAAGATTGAATGCCCAATCAGATCAAAACTTCTGCATGTAAACATGTCAATCGGAATGTTCTGATCCGATTCGGCCCAATCGGAATGAAAGTTCAATCCGATTGAGAGAGGTGGTTTTGTCCGATCATCATTCCGATTGACATGCAGGATTGATTGTCACACTTTATTAATAATAAGCCACAACAGAGCTCAGCAATAAAACAAGAGTCTGAAACCCCCCGGTCCCGTCACGTCAGACCTGCGACCAGCTGATCAAGAGGCAGCGACAAGGATAACCCTCCCTTATTTTAATATCATCAACAATAAAACGCAGCAAAGCATAAACCTGCAGTTATTCACTGAAGAAAATGTGACTTCTATGAGCTAAAGAAAAACATTAAGTTGATTAAATGAATCAGGAAAGCAAGAAGAATAGTTTTTTTCTGTTTTTACGTTTTTCATTTAGTTTTGCTTATTTCCAATTTATTTTTCCCCAGGAAAGAAAACTCTGTGCATGCTCAACCTGTTTAATCTGATTGAATACTTGGTGCATATAAACTCACAGCATGATCGGATCATTTCAGTGTGTGTCCCTGTAAACAGATTCGGGATTTCTGATCAACCAAGATTTTAATCGGATTGGGGAAATTCAGGAACTCTGTCAGTGAACCCCAGGGCAGCTGTGGTTGCATCGTAGCTCCTCACCATCAGTGTGTGAATGAGTGTTGGTGTCCTCTGACTCAGAAAGGTGCTATACAATTGCAGGTAATTAACAAGCCCCCACAATGCGGCTCAAAAATTGAGCCCAACCCGGAAGTACCAAAAATTGCAGTTCCACCCTCATCCGCTGGGGGCTGGTGTCAGAAGCGAGCAAATCCTCATTGACTCCCATGTTAAAAATACCAATTTCACAGCAGAAATAAACATGTTTACAGCCTGGTACCAGAACATGTTTTTAGTTTAAATGATCTAGTTTACACTCATGACAACTCTGAGGGGGGTGAATTTTTTTCTCACTCTTCTGTTTAAGTGTATTAAAAGCCTAAAATTCTGTATAATTAAATGAGCATCAGACCCACGTGACCGCAGAGCTAGCTCCATGGAAAGGCCTCAGTAGAGCCTCGGTCTGACTTGGAAACTTCCGGGATTTTGAGTCTCTGCGTTTGTGTATTCTTGTTTGGATATGTTTTGTGCAATTGTTGGACAAAATCACTTGCTGTGGCATTAATTGCACTAATAGAGAGTCCAAGGAGTCTCCACTTCATTTTTTTCGGTAATTAAAATTATATTTATGTATTTTAGGTCATTGCTGAGCTGAGCTTAGATTTTAACATGTACTGTTTAACCATGAAATTTAAATGTAATAGGGTAAAACCCAGTGCATTTAACATAATGCTGCACTTTAGAAAATGGGCTGAAATATAACATGTTGGTGGAGCTGGGTTCCGACTATCGGCTTGTGGAGCTCTCGGGAGACGGATGTTTTCCACCCGTTCTCCCCTCCCCGCAGCCCGGCGCATCTCTGTCTGATCGTGGCTTCTGTCTGAATGTGTACGGTTCCGCTTACGCCAACATCATACACAAAAAATGCTGAAGACTAACTAGAAATTCACGAAAATTTTATAGAAATAAAAGAATCTTGTTTATTGGGTCTTTGGTAATTTAAGACCTTTGGAAACTGTATTAAGGATTATTTATAATTTTTTAAGGATTTTTAAGGCCTTAAATTTGGAAAAGCTAAATTAAGACTTTTTAAGACTCTTTAAGGACCCGCGGATACCCTGCACAGTTTTAACATGTTTCTTTTCAGTGCACTTCCTAAATGAGTGATGTTTTTTGGCTGATTAAGAAAGTTTTTGAATACAAAAACAAAGAAATGAATAAATAGTTAAAAGAAAACGTAAAGGACAACATGGATGTGTTCTCCTTTTTCTTCTTATTGTAAAGCATTGCTGAATCATGGAATCGGGACTCCATATCAGTATATCAGACTCTAGAGTGGGGGCAAAGATATGCGATGGGAACAAGCTTCATTTAAAGGTAAACTGCAAACAGATGTAAAGTTCCAGCGTGTTGTTTCAGCTGAATAAGACTACAGTAAAAACACTAAACTACGGTGCTGGTAGGAGAGACGGCATAAGGTGACAGAACCAGCTGACTACTAAAACTTTTATTTTCTTATTATTAACTCAAATTTTTAATCTTTAATCTGTTTATGAAAATTTATAATTTCATGACTATTTTACCTGAAGTTAATCTAATTCTGTTTTGAGAGCATTTTGATTTTATGATGTTCATCTATTTATGATTTTATGGCTGTTTTATTTTATTTTGATCTATGTGAAGTACTTTGTGATTCTATGTCTGTGATGAGTGCTATATAAATAAAATTTACTTGCTCAGATCAACCAGAAGCATCTGAACTTTACTGTTGATAGCGAAGCAGGAGGAGTGAAGTTTAGACCAATACTGCCACCATGTGGCCAATTTTGGTACAAAAATGTATCAGCTTTGTTTCAAATGTCACAAAAATATGTTTTAAGGGTCTGAAGTGGAAAAATCATCAGATGATTTCTATCAAAGAATCTGTGATTCAGCATTTTGTGTTCCTCATGTTCTGGCTTTAGTGTGCACTTCTGTTCATCCTCCACTCATGCATGCTGCTGCCGGGGTCTTAAAGAGCTACTAAGCTAAACATTGTATATACATTAACAGAAACCCCTGAGGAAACTCACCAAGATGTAGGAGTCGTGCTCGTGCTTCTTTCTGTGTAAAGGAATATCTGCAAAAGGAAACGTGATCACAGTCAGTATTTCAAACGGTCAATTCCTGCATTCTATTCATCTTCGTGTTGTTTTACTGAGGGAATAAAAGCAGGTCTAATTAAAATAGGGTGACTGCCAGAAGATGATTCAGACTTGTGTTTTATCTGAGGAAAGCTGCTGACCAGCTCATAACCAAAGAATGGCATCATTGATCAGCTGATCCATCACTCTGTTTCCACCAGCTTTTCAGGCTCCAGGTCCCTGAGGTCAGAGCTCTAATACAGGCCTAAACCGTCCTCTTCCCAGCAACCTCCACCAGTGGGATCCCCAGGTGTTCCCTGGCCAAGATGGAGAAGTAATCCCTCCAGTGTGTCTAGGGTCAACTCAGGGCTGAAGGCTCTCTGCTGGCAGGACCTGCCTGAAACGCCTCAGCTGAGGTGATAGATGTCCATAATAACATTCCTACTATCCACAATGGACACTTCCAATACCTGAAATGTAATTCTTCCTAGGACAAATTAGGTCACTTTTTCCATTAATGTGTATTGGAATTTCAGCGCCTCCTATCCACAATTGCATTCCTCCCATCAATAATGCACCTTGCTAGTAGAAATGCCTTTTTATTAGGAGAAGCTTGTTCCTGTCTAGGAACCACACACAAGTTTGAGGATCATCCAATCACATGATCATATGTTCTAAAAGAGGACCCGCTGGGCTGATGTGTGGAAAAGGAAAAATATAGAGCAACACAAACAAACAAACAAAGGCAGGAACTAGGGTAACTGATCAAATAAGAGCTACTATCATTGACCATGTCATAAAACAGGGGCTATCATACAAAGCCTGGTGAACGAGTACAGCCAAATCTCAGCCGGGACACGGTGGCATCCATTGTCGTCTGTATTTTCAGAGAAACCAACAGGTTTTCTGTCAAACTCAGGCCCTCGGGCCAAATTTGGCCCGAATTAATTTTGATTTGGCTCGCCAGATCAAATATCAATTATATAAAACTGGCCCGCCGGCCGATTTTACCGCAAAGACTACAAATCCCATAGCCCTTTGCGGCATTAGAGCGTCAGTTGAAGCGCCCCCTCCTTTCTGTTTAGTTATATAGCACACTTCTAGTTTCGGCTTCAGCAGCTCCGCAGTCTGAGACAAACTGAAAACACTCCTCTTACTCAGCGCTGAGTTCACTCAGGAATTAGCAGAGTTTGAAGCCCAGAAATGGATTTTAACAGCTCAGTAATCTGTTTGCTTTTGACACAGAAAGCACACCAACCAACTTCCAGACTAAGATGATTTAACTCCAGTTTAGCGACACGCTCAAGTCAGTATGACTATGTGGCTGCTGCAGCTTTGATCTCTTCTCCCCGACACACTGACCAACTGTGTGGTCCAGCTGCTCTGATTCTCTCCATGTTCAGCAGCACAAACCTGTGTGAGCAACTGTTGTCTGTGACGAAGATGAACAGAACAACACAGCTCCTTCCTCAGCTCAGAGCCCAACCCCGCAGACGCAGATGTCTGGCTGGAACAGGTGAGCATCACAGGAAATCAGAGTGGAGAAAACTGAGCTTGAATTATTTTGGTTTTATTAAACTTTTCTGCTCCAAAGCATGAAAGTTAATAGGTGAGATATAACATTTTCATTTAAGAGAATTACTAGTTTTTATTTATGTCGTTGGCCTGTGAAAAAAGATTGAACCCACTTTAAAACAGGGACTAGAAGACTACAAATAGATGAATACAAAAGAAACTGAATAGAAAATCCCTTTATTGTCCCTCAGTTGGGAAAGCTTGGTGTCACAGGGTCTCTAATGACCTCCTGACCCACAGTGATGCAGAAGAATGTTCTGTTCTGGTCCTGCTGGACCTGACTGCAGCCTTTGACACTGTTGACCATCACCTGCTACTGGAGAGGCTGAGAGACTGGGTAGGCCTATCAGGAACTGCTCTGGAGTGGTTCTCCTCTTATCTTTCTGAGCGCTCCTTTTCTGTGGCCGTCTCCAAGTTTAGGTCCTCCACCACCTCTCTTACCCATGGTGTCCCACAAGGTTCTGTGTTGGGGCCTCTACTCTTCCTCCTCTATCTGCTTCCTCTTCAGCACATCCTGAGCTCCTTCAAAGGAATCTCCTACCATCTTTATCCAGATGACATCCAACTGTACATCTCCTTTAAGCCCCATGAGATGTCTAAGCTGCAGCTGTTACACACCTGCTTAGACTCTATCAAAACCTGGATGGCTGGGAGCTTTCTACAGCTGAATGAAGATAAGACTGAGATCCTCATCTGTGCCCCAGACAAGCTGGTTCCCAAAGTCAGAGACTCTCTTGGTCAGCTTGCTTCTCACACCAAACCTTCCGTCAGGAATCTTGGCATGACCTTTGACCCAGCTCTCACCCTGGATTCTCATGTCAGTTCTCTTGTTCGCTCTTCCTTCTTCCATCTCAGGAACATTGCTAAGCTGAGTCCCATACTGACAGTTCTCCACACCTTCATCTCCTCACGCTTAGACTACTGTAACTCTCTTTTCACGTGTCTGAGCAGAGCCTCCCTGAACCGTCTACAGGTGGTTCAGAATGCCTGTGCTCGGCTTCTGACCAAGTCCTCCAAACACACCCACATCACCCCGCTTCTCCTCCAGCTTCACTGGCTGCCAGTCAACTTCAGAGTTCATTTCAAGATCCTGGTTCTGATCAATAGAGCCTTAAGCCTGATTCATGCTTCTGTGTCTGTATCAGTGCGGAGACATGCAACGGCATTATCCGTCCTTGCGAGCCTGCTGGAGAGCCTCGCAAGGACGTACGGAGTCAAGCTCTCTTTTGTAAACATCCGTCCGTCGAGACGGAGAACGCAAGCTTGTGATTGGTCAGGGCACCGCTGTCATCTACACCGCCGCCATTGCGCACTCAAAAACATAAAGAGAGCCGAGGATAACTAGCGGCAGACACGGAGAAGCTTGAAGAATACCTCACGAAAAAACTCTAAAAATATGAACGTTTAATTCCCCCGTGACTGGAGGAGTAAAAAGATGCACAGCAAGCATTTTATTTGTGGACGGAAATGACAGGAAACTTGGGTTTTACCGGTGGCGAGCCCATGAAGAGGTGGAGGAGAATGAGAGACAAATTTGTCCGTGTTAAAAAGTCTCTCATATACAAAAAAAAACACAATATAAACAAACTATCTTGGACCGGGTACATTACAGGGTACCACAGAACAGCGCTACGCCCTCTGCTGTCCTGGCGTGGAATTGCTTTGCAACACTCTCCAGGAGACGGAGAGGTATGAGGGCAAAATGTCTTCGTCCGTGCATGCGTGTCTCTCCCTGTTGGAGCTGACGGAGAAGCATGAATCAGGCTTCACATGGACAAGCACCATCATTGGTGATCTTCTTAGTCCCTACACCCCCAGCAGGTCCCTGAGGTCCAGTAATCAAAGCCTACTGGTTGTGCAGCACCAAGCTAAAGACCAAATGTGACAGATCATCTGCTGCTGTGGCCCCCAAACTCTGGACCTCTCTCTCCCCCTGAGCCTGAGATCAGTGGACTCAGTGGTCTCCTTTAATAAGCAGCTGAATACACCTGTTCAGGCTTTGGTGTGACCTTCATCGCCCTCTCCTTATTCTGTTCTTCTTCTGCCTTTCCCAGGATCCATTGATTTCCCTCTTTCCTATTCATGTTCTCTCTCCCTTTCCTTACATTTTTTTCTTTTCTCCTTTTAAACATTTTTAAAATCTTTTTATACTTTCATTTTTTTATTGTTTTTGTGAAGTGCGGTGCCTCATGATTTTTATCTTGAGAGGTGCTGTATAAAAGATCGTCTTCTTTCCTCAACCCCAAAGAGACGTTTCTCTCAGCCTGGAGATGGAAGGTTTTTGACCATCGTCCACAATGACCAAATGTCCCTCCTGAATGCAATGGATGCTGCATTCCAAGACATCACAGCTGAACACTGCCAGGGATGGATAAGGCATGCCAAAGGATTCTTCCCACAATGCCTTGCCAGAGAAGATATCAGGTGTGATGTGGATGAGAACATGTGGCCAAATGCAGAAGACCGGGCAGAATAGATACAGTATACTATTTCTGTTTGTATCTTACAGTAATACTGTAATCTTTTGCAGATATAGTGTGTACTACAGCAGTTCTGTGTATGTGCATTACGTAAAGCTTCTCTGAGATGGTCATTCACTTTTTTCATTGAATTTCTGCAGCGAACGTAAAAAAATGCATGGATTTACATACCACAGTAAACCCAACAAAAATGTAGAAAGGCTTCAAAGATAAGGACTGACCTGACACATAAAATAATGACATTATTTCAGCTGATGATAGTGGTTTGTTGGTCAATGTGTTATGATTGACTAAATGTTCCTGTTGGAAGGGAACATGTGTTACTGTTATGTATGATTATTTGATTTTCTAACATTTTTTGCAGTGTTTTGCTAGACAGTGTACTGTAGTCGTTCATATTATTGTATTTAGGAAATTAGTTTTGGGGTTTCATGTAGAATGTGTGTTTTGAGTATGGAACATTGTGTTTTAGGTGTGATGGTGCATTAAGAGTTTAGAAAACTTCTTAAATGGTTTGAAAAAAGCTGTCATAGTGATTGTAAAAACTGTAGTGTGCTTGGACGCTGAGCTCTGTGAACAGTCATCCTCTTTAGCAAGGACCTTTTGTATCTTCCCCCCCTTGTGCAAGGTGTCAATGGTCATCTTTAGGACAACTGTCAAGTCAGCAGGCTTCCCCCTGATTATGTAGCCTACAGAACTAGTACTGAGAGACCATTTAAAGTCTTTTGCAGAAGTTTTGAGTTATTTAGCCGATTAAAGTCTGGCACCAAGGGTCTTCAGTGTTGAATGGAATTCCTGAAATAAATCAACTTTTTCAACTTATCTGACATTTATGACCAGCACCTGTTTATAGCGTTATCTGCATCTGCATGTATGCTCCTCTGACTGGTATGGTGCCCTGATAAAACATCATCCAGGAGGAATTACATTTCAGATAGTTGAGATGTTCATTCTGGATAGTAGCAGTGTTATTGTGGATACCTGTAATACTAATTTCTACTAAGAAAAATAGATTTTTACATATCTGAATACATATCCAGTCTGCCTAATAAATGTAAAACTGGGATTTTGAGTGATATCACAACAACATAGCTGCTGATTTATCTTCAACTGCGATTTTCACCAAGAATACAACTAGGATCAATTAAATTATTGCTACATAAAATGGGAATTAGAGGTCCAACTGTTGAATAAATGTTAAAACGGCTCGCCACAACGCCAAGATCGCAGACTGGAACTGAACATGCTAATGGTTCCATCTGCTGGACGGGAAATTCCAAGTTAAGGTGGGGAAAAGGATCATCTGGTAGACCAAAGCATCGAAAGAGAAAAACGGAAACATGACAACAGGTATGAAAAACAAACAAGCTCCAACGTTGTGGATCCATTCAGAAAACCGGGAGTAAACCATCAACCGGTGGTTTGACGAGAGCGAGACACCGAAGCCATCATCAATCTATTATTTTCGGTTCTATCCCAATCAAACACAAAAATAGGCTCAGTGGCTGTTATTCAGAAATAATGTTTACAGTGCGATAATCAACAAACAAACATGGAAGCATAACGTAGGCTCCCAAACAGCTGTTAGCACAGCTAGCATAACAAACCTGGATCCTTGATGTTGATGACGTCCAGTGACACCATGTCAGGTTTATCCAGCAGAACCACCTTCCTCTCCGTGACGCCGGACGGAACCACGTCCGGCTTCGGACCGAACTTTCTGGGGTAAAAATCCCCGGCGGTGTGGTAGGACAGACCCGTGGACGTGGACATCATCCCGTCCCTCGCCATTTTGAACTTCCTTTACCCAAGAGTCTAAGGGTGTGACGTCATTCCAAGTTCCGACTTCCGAGGAAAATCGAACGCACCCTAACTAACTACTTGTGTCGTGGCCGCCATCTTAGATGGGTCTCCATTCGTCCCTAGTGCATTCATTATTTACTGAGGAAGATGCGCACGTCATGTAGCCTAGTTAACCAGACCTAATTCTTGCTTTACAAAGTTTAAATAAGAAATCTATTTAGTCTGACTTGCCAAGCCAGTTTACTCAACAACAAAAAAAAAACATTTTATCAAGCTTTTTCGCAAAATCAGACAATATATGGCGTGATAATTAAAATATAAACATAATTAAACAAAATAAATTAAAATATTAAATACCATCAGATAAGATAGAAAAGTATATAACGTTATCTGTTTTCAGAAATTCGCCTGTTGTACAGAAACTGGCAGACTTTGGAGAGTGAGCAGATCAATCCAATATGGCGCCGACGTTACGATCTCTAGCGCCTAATGGAACGTCTATTCATGTCTATAGTCTGAGCGAGTTACCTTAAAGGCGCATGCGCCAAATCACTGATCCGTATGTGGCAAGGTGGATAAACGAGGGCCCGGGCGGGATTCGATCCCCAGACTCCCGGGTGAGAGTCAAACGCACTAACCAGTCAGCCAAAGGGACATCCCCTTGGCCAAGTAGCCAGGGCGCATGATCAATCGGGACATTGTGACAGGACACTCACACTGTCACACGTATATAAGGCCGTGTTCGAGTTGAGCTGCGCCTCGCCTGGAAAACAGACGAGAGCAGACGGAAGCAGCAGGGGGAGTGGCTGAAAGCCGGCGTGTCGGACATAATTTCCTACATGTGTAGCTCCTGGGTGAAGATGGCTGAAGATATCACATTAGCATTCACACTTGTTTAATTTCAATTTTAATTCTGGTGCCTGTTAGCAGCTGAAACACATCCTCACATGCTTGTGAGGATGTTTGTATATGTATGTATATATATATATATATATATATATATATATATATATATATATATATCGGAAGTGTGATCCGCTGTAGTTGGAACACACTCTGCGGTCCCCCTTTTTAAATAGGGAACCACCACCCTGGTCTGCCAGTCCAGTGGGACTGCCCCCAATGTTCACGCGATATGGCAGAGACACAACCCTACTACATCCAGAGCCTTAAGGAATTCTGAGCGGATTTCATCCACCCCCGGGGCCATGCCGCTGAGGAGCTTTTTGACCACCACAGTGACCTTAGCACCAGAGATTGGAGAGCCCAACCTCAAGTCCTCAGACTCTGCTTCCTCACTGGAAGACGTGGGATTGAGGAGGTCTTCGAAGTATTCTGCCGACTGATCAACATTGTCCCGAATCAAAGTTCGCAGCACACCGTCCCCACTATAAACAGACTATAAACAGTGTTGGTAGCACACTGCTTTCCCCTTCCAAGGCATCGGATGGCGGACCAGAATCTCCTTGAAGCTGTACGGAAGTCTTGTTTCAAGGTCTCTCCAAACTCCTCCCTTGCCCAGGTTTTTGCTTCTGTGACTACTCGGGCTGCATTCCACTTGGACTGCAGGGTACCCATCAGCTGCCTCTGGAGTCCCACAGGCCAAAAATACCCTATAGGACTCTTTCTTCAGCTTGACAGCATCCCTAACCACTGATGTCCACCAGCGGGTATGGGGATTACCACCACGACAGGCCAGTGGCGGCGCCAGGGGGGCACTATAGCTACCCGTGGATTAGTCACTGCACCCCCATAGCACCCCCAAGTAAATATTAGATGTTTTTTCTTTACAATTTAATTTTATTTAATGTTTATTTAATATTTAACATACAAAACAAAAATAATCAGTAAATTATCATTTAGATAGTAAAAACTTAAACCAAAACAGGAAATTGATGTTAACCTTTGACCTCATTTTCCACCTGTGAACGAGTGAAAGGTGGTAGTGGTAAAATGGATCGGTTTTTGTTGCCCAAATTTCCACAGGTTCAGTCAGAAACGAATGAATCTTTGGAAGTGATCTCAGACCCACAAAAACCTACAGATCTGGATGAAGAGCGTCAACCCTCAACCGCCGCAGCAGTCGAGGGTTTTGCCGCTGGAAATGCTAACACTAACGTTAGCTAACCTTGCAACACTATAGATGGTTTTCTGTGTGGCTGTATGCGTTTATGATTTCATGGAAAAGTCAGCAATATGTTTATGATGTATATTAATGATTGTTTCAGGTGTTGTTGAGGTTTTGTGCACGCATGAGTATCTGCTAGTGTCGAAGGTGTTTTAGAGAACAATAGGTACCCATGACCACTTCCTTCATAGCACCCTCAACAAAAAGACTAGCTCCTCCATAGCACCTGCAGAAAATAATTTCTGGAGCCGCCACTGCGACAGGAACAGACAAGCCTGTGGCCGCAGCTCCAGTAGGCCGCCATGACAACGGTGGCACGGAACATGGCCCACTCGGACTCAATGTCCCCCGCCTCCTCCGGAACATTTTGGAAGTTCTGTTGTAGGTGAGAATTGATACTTCTTCTGACAGGAGATTCTGCCAGAAGTTCCCAGCAGACACTTACAATACGTTTGGGCCTGCCAGGTCTGACCAGCTTCCTCCACCACCATCGAAGCCAACTCACCACCAGGTATTGTTCAGTTGACAGCTCCGCCCCTCTCTTCACCCGAGTATCCAAGTCATGCAGCCGCAGATCAGACAGAAGGACAACAAAATCAATCATCGACCTGCGGCCTAAGGTATCCTGGTGCCAAGAGCACATATGGACACCTTTTTGTCTGAGCATGGTGTTCATTATGGACAATCCACGACGAGCACAGAAGTCCAATAACAAAACACCGCTCAGATTCAGATCAGGGGGCAGTTCTTCCCCACCCAGGGGCGCCTCCAGAAAATTTTGATGGGGTGGCAGAATGGGGCCATAGAAATATATTGGGTGGCACACCAAATTGGTCCTTGTGGTAACTCTGGTTGAATTTAGTCTGTGGCGATGTGCTGCATTGCGCCTTCATTCGTTTTTATTAAAATAACAGTACGTATCCCAACCATTTTACTTAAATTTTACAAACACAAACATTTTAGAAAAATACATTTCAGTTATATAAAATGTTATCCCAAATTTGATTTAAAAATGTATTTTTTAGGTTAATTCACTTGTTGCTGTGTTCACACAAAAAACTATGGAGATAAAAACTTATTTAAAATGGTGAGCAGCAGAAGCATGTTTTTTTATTCTGATTATTTCTTAACTCATTAATTGTAGTATTTTTTTTACAATTGTGTCTTGAATAAACAAGATCAAAATATGGTTTGACTGAACATTAATATGATTTCTCAACTGGCTTTTCCGGGGGGGGGGGGGGGGGCAGCAGTTTTCTAGGGGTGGCCACAGAGTAAAACAGAACACAGATGGAGCAGAAAGCTAGATATATGGCAAAAGGCTACAGAGACTTTTACTGCTAACCTAACAAGTGTGAGTATTCGTGCAGAAAGCTATCCAAGAGGACATGTTACTCCACATGGATGCATTACAGCTTGCCTGCAGGGTCTCATTCTCCTGCATGTGTGTGGAGAGGAGGTGCTTGGAGTTCCTCCTCCTCCTTTCACCACTGAACCTTCGCCCTTCCTGTTTCCCACTCTCTGTGCTCTCTTTTTCTCCCCTCGCACGCTAGGGAACTGAACAGAAGCAGCTTTGCGTCTGTTCAGCAGCTGATTTTGAGTTTCCTCCTCTAGTTCCTGACCTGTGGCGTCTCACCAGACATCAGGATGAGTGGGAATCCCTTCCAGAACAAGATGCAAACCAAGATGGAGAAGGCAAAGACTATGAGTGACGAGGAGAAGTATTACACTCATAAGGGAGTGCTGTACCCGACCCTCATGTGTCCAGAAGAACATATGAAGTGTATCGTCGACATGAAGGCTAGAGAGGATGATGTCATGCTGGTGGCATATCCTAAATGTGGTGAGTAACAGAAAAGTTCACTCCTGAACAGGAGCAGAACTTTCCAGATCTCTTTCTCCTGCAGCTCTTAGAAACACTTTTCCCTTTGGATTACCAGTAAATGTCCTGCTTTGCTGCATGTTTAGACAACAGCAGCTTGGCTTAGTTAAAAACGGATTCTGAAAGCATTCCCTGATCAATGCAGCATGTGTGTCACAATGTCCTTCAGTCTTTACTTTTTCTTGCCGAGTCATCGGAGTTCAGTTGTATAAGAGAAACAGGAATGAGGAAGGATTCCAATTAGATGATTAAATCTCAGGCAGCTTATCTTCATCTGCTGTGTGAAATCATCACGTATCCCTCCACTGACACGTTTTCTACAGATCGTTTCACCTGCTCATACTCTCACCTTGGTCACCTCTCACCTGGATGCATCGTGACTCCGCTGAGACAGAAACTGGTTGAATGAGTTAAATGAATGAAACCACTCCCATTTTGTATAATGCTGACATTCGATCTGAAGCACCAGGTGTTGTTTTTTAGCACGCAGCTGGGGCTTAGTAGGTACAGAAGTTTTCCCAATAATGTTCAGGAAGATGAATTTTTACTTTATTGTTTCAAAGTCCTTTGCACCATATCTGTCTTACAGGAAGTGACTTAAGCAGCTTTTTTCCTGACCCTCTAAAATGATCCGTTTCAGGACTTTGTCACTTTAAAATGACAATGTGTATTTTCCCTGAAGATAGGGGGCAGTAGATTCCCAAATCGTTGCAAGCAAGCAGAAATTTTGTGTTAGAGTAAGACCTTACCAACAGATGCCCATTAGGGTCAAAAAGCCCTGGGGAGTGCAAACTTTAGCAAGATAACATGCACGTCACACTCAATCATCACTGGCAATGAGTGAAGATGTAAATGAGAAAAAACATTTAAGAATGACAAGTTTTGTAATTTTTTTGTCACAAATCAGTAAACGAGTTTTGTCCTCATGGGCTCCCGTAGAAGGAAATATGGCATCTAATATGGCGTCGCCCAGAGACTTAGACCCGCTCCCATGTATTTTAGACCAGATTTTTATGGTTATATTTTACAAAGCTGCCAATATTGCTCAACAACTGAGCAGCATTTCATTCAACATTTTGATGAACATTTCCAGAAATTAATGGTAAAAACTACACACTTTCTCTTTAAATGGAGCAAAACTCACCTTTACATTGTTTTGTGCTTTCACGTGGCCTCATTGAAGTGTGTGTGTGTGTGTGTGTGTGTGTGTGTGTGTGTGTGTGTGTGTGTGTGTGTGTGTGTGTGTGTGTGTGTGTGTGTGTGTGTGTGTGTGTGTGTGTGTGTGTGTGTGTGTCCTTCCCCAGTCAGGTCTGGTGTCCTCCCCTGCTCTTTCCTGCTCCTCCTCCCTGATTAGTTATTGCCTTCACCTGGTTCTCTCCCCACACACCTGCAGCTCATCTGCCTCCCATTATACCCCAGTCTATAAAGCCCTGTCTGTTTCTCATTGTCATGTCGGTCCATTGTTGTTTGTCAGTGTTTTGGTGCTCTGTGTGCGATTCCTGTCCTGTCCCCAGTTTGTGCTCTAGGTGAGCTCTGTTCTCATGTTCTGGATTTTTGGATTTTGGCTCCCTGCCTTTTTGGACTTACTTTTGTTCATCTTACAATAAAGGACTTTTTCTTTATATCAACTCCTGCCTCGTGTCATCCTGGGTAACTGCATTTTGGGTCCAAACCATCCTCTCAACGTGACAAGTTCTTGGTAATGGTCAAGGTGTGGAAACGAGGTCAAAGGACTGTGATCAGGTAGGAAGGAAGGCTGGAAGATTTACTGGCAAAAGCCTTCAATAATCTCGTGCTGGCTTAGTGTTGGACCAGGAGTCTTGTTGGGAGCAATGCAGGTGGAGCTGATGAGGAGTTAATGAGAGACAGGTGTGTGGCATGAGCTTGATAATGAGTTGACTGTGGTTGCTGGGGAAACAGGGCTTGGCTGGAGCTTGATGAGGGGATCAGGTGTGATGCACGAAGGCTGATGATGTGAATGATAGTGCATGGAGTTCAGGGCATGGCAGGATCATGACAGTTAAGCAGCCTCTGAAACCCTGACATCCAGATGTCCTTGAAAGCCACATGAACAAACAAAACTCCCTAAAAATGTAGATCTTTGGCCACACTTTTATCTGATCCTGGTCTGAAAACATCAGTGTTATGATTCTGTTGGCCTGTCTCTGCAGGATTTAGATTTTTAGGTAATCTAGTCAAAGTCAAAGTCATTTATTGTCATTTCTACTACATGTGCAAGACATACAGAGAAACGAAATTGAGTTTCAGTACACACAATTCAGAGATCAGACATACATGGGCAAGACACATGACAAGAATTGGTGACTGCAGTCATTCGCAACCCGAGTCGCGCTACCTTAATAGATGAAAAGGAATTACATGAGGATAGGTTGGTGGAGGGAAAAAAGGCATACCAGAGTTACTCCCGACAGGGCGTAGCTGTACTATGTAGAAAAAACACCTCAAACATATAAGCACGAACTTCAACATTCACAACATGAGACTCCGTTAGGGGGGGGGGGGGGGGGGGGGCTGGGATCCTGTTTATCCAGGGCCACTAGCCATGTGCGGCGCTCAGCCAGCTGTGTCCACAGGAGGGAGAGAGATCTTGGGAGGAGCATAGGGCACATTCCTGCAGGTTGATGGCCTCGCTGTGAAGTCCACAATCTGAAGGCGGGGGGGGGGGGGGGGGGGGGGGGGGGGTTTGTACGGGTTTCCACAGCATCTGTCTGCATTCCTTCCTTCGTGGGGGATGTTGATTGCAGCTTCAAGGCTGCATTGGCATCAGATTAGGATAGCGAGACTGTGTTTGGGTCAGGCAGAGATAATTTTCCCTCTGCCTTCAGTCTGTAACTGGTCATTCCAGTCCTTCAGTGAAGCCAATTCAGGTTATTAAACATCTCCACACCGTCCGGTGACCCTCTCCGAGATGACATCCATTTTGCGCACTAACACCGGTAACGCAGCTAAGATATTGTCCAGCTTACGATTCACCTCGAGTAACGTCCCACTCTGTGAGGTCTCCGCCCGGACGGTGCTGTCCATGGGTGCGGGTCGCCCTCCAATCGCTCCCGTCTTCCCAATTCTTCGGAAAACCAGATATCCTCCCACTCCAATCAGAAGAAATCCAGTGATCATCAGGCCAAATATCCACATATCTTCGACGTCCTCATTGGACAGCTGAGAGAGACAGATGACCTTCCACTCCTTCCAGGAATTGAGCATATATCCCGCTGCGTGTGTCCCATGAGGACAAGTGGGAGCCCCCTCCTCCGTTCTCATCGTAGAAAAAATCTTATCAATCGCGTTGAATGACCAATTAATTTAATCCATTTCTGAAAAATACTGATTTCCAGAGGAAATGCAGAGAAGCGCTCTGTAGGCAGACGGGACAAAAAGAGCCTTGGGAAAAAAGATAAGGGAGCAAAGCAGAAGCGATTGTGCTCTGTGAGTGCCAGGAGAAGAGAATCTAACACATCTTTGTGCATCCATCCATCCATCTATCATTGTCAGCCGCTTATCCGGGATCAGGTCACGGGGGCAGTAGACTAAGCAGGGAGGCCCAGACTTCCCTCTCCCCAGCTACTTGGGCCAGCTCCTCCGAGGGAATTCTAAGGCGTTCATTGGCCAGCTGAGAGACACAGTCCCTTCAGTGTGTCCTGAGTCTTCCCTTGGGTCTCCTCCCAGTTGGACGTGCCTGTAAACCCTCACCAGGGAGACATTCAGGAAGCATCCTAACCAGACGCCCAAGGCACCTCAACTGGCTCCTTTTGATGTGGAAGAGTAGCGGGTCTACTCCAAGCCCCTCCCGTATGACCTAGCTTCTCACCCTATCTCAAAAGCACGGGTCACACTTAGATTTTTGGCTGTCCCACAGGATTGTTCATGTCACACTGTGAGAACTCCAGAAAGGTGGCACACTGCACGGTGCACGTGAGTCAGACTGTATGGCGTCTCGTTCCAGGAGGACACACTGTGTCATGAGTACACCTCCCGAAAGCATACGTCCGCTGTATGCGTCCAGTAATGGTCACTTTTCACCTGCAGATTGACCTACATGCCACCGGTCATCTACAGACCTATTTCCACCCTCTAAGGTGGATTTTACATTCTACCTTCCAACAAGCAACAAGGTTCTGCAAACCTTGTTGACATTTCAGGAGGAACAAGATATCAGCTTGTGTTCCCAAACCAAGCCATCTTTTGAAAACACTGCAGGATTGCTCACTCTCATGAAAACTAACACTTTTACAACTCACAAGTTAAATAATCATTAAATAATAATAAAATTGAATGACCAAATGTTATATGAATACTATTGAAATGTTTTGATTAATCTGTGCATAAATTACTGTGGTTGAAATGAAATAATTTGATAGTATGATCAGTAATGTTGGTTTAACAAGTGAATCACTATTTTCTGACAGCTCACACACTCAGACACATGACGATGACAAGGTTAAGCCAATATCCTGAAACATTGCTTTCTGTTCCATGAATCAGAACTCCTGTATCTGATGCAAGGCGTGACGTTCTGAGGTTTGCTTGTGAACACCCCTTAACATGGCACGTACCGGTTGGCCAAGAATTCATAATATGAGAATATTAAAACAGAGCTCACTTGACGATGAGTCAGTTCTAGAGAAAGCTACAGACAGGCCATCCGGACCAAACCCTCTTTTACCCAAAGCTTTCGACAAGCTAAAAGCTGCCTACAGCTGACACAGCAAAACGGTTCCTTCAGCTATTCAGAACCAGCTGTTCTAGACGCAAACGATTTCATCTATCTGTTGTGATCCGGGAGACGACTCTGGACCAACCTGGTCGTACTGCAGTCTTTTCTACAACTTCGGTACCTTGGGTCACCCAACCCCACCAACATCTCGGATTCGAAAGGGAGTCTCCTCAGGGGTACGTAGAACACAACGTGATTGCGTCTGATGCTGTTTTGATAAGAACCA